ATTGAAACATTTATTTGCATATCTCTATGGAATACATTTTGGTTATTTAACATATATATATATGTTAACATATATATATATATGATTATGTTTATTCATAACATATATATATGATTATATATATGTTATATATATGTTATATATATGTTATATATATATATGATTATATATATATGTTAACATATATATATATGATATATATATAACATATATATATATATATATGATTAACATCCAAAGGTTATTACACATCATATGTGTGTGTGTGTGTGTGTGTGTGTGTGTGTGTGTGTGTGTATACACGATGTGTAATAACCTTTGGATGTTAATCATGTTTATCTGTTGGGAGCATCGTACTTTTCTACCTATTCTGAAATTTAGTTGTTTTAATCAATGGTTATACTGTTCTCTAGAAAAAAACAGAACTAAATCTCTTCTCTGTTTGGAGCTAGTTACTGAACTTTTCTCTGTCTCCTCTTCTTCATACCTTCCTTTCCCAGACTCTAGTGATCAATATTCCATTGTTCTTTTATGAGATTCACTTTGTTTTCGTAAACAGATGAGAATATGTGGTATGACCCTCCAATTTCATCCAATTTACTGAAAAAAAACCAAGATTTTGGTCCCTTTATTGCTGAATACTATTCTATTTTTTATGTATATCTGCCTCCTTTAGCCATTCATTTACTGACTGGCATCTAGGTTGATTCTGTATTTTAGATGTTATACATAGAGCACAATAAACATCAGTACAAGAATCTCTTTGGTATAATGATTTCATTTCCTTTGACTATATATTCAGTAGTGGAATTTTTGGATCATCTTATAGTTCTCTTATTTTTATGGATATCTCTTTACTGTTTCCCATAATGGCCATACAAATTTATATTCCACTCAACGTGTCTGAGTTCCTCTTTCTCTGCATCCTTGCAACATGTATTGTCTTCTTGGTAACAGCTCCTCTAACTGCAGTGAAAGCTGAATGGAAAGATACCAGATTTCATTGTGATTTTGACGTGCATTTCTCTGATGGTGAGAGTGAACATTTTTGTTGTACAATACTTCTTGGCCATTTGTGTTTCTTTTGAGAAATACTAGTACTTTGCCCATTTTTGTAAGTGGATTGTTTTGTTTTTTCTGCATTTAGCTTTTTGAGTTCCTTATATGTTCTAGATGCTAACCTGTGTCTGATGAATTTTTACAAATATTTTTCCCATTCTATAGGTTGTCTTTTAATTCAACTATTTCTTTTGCTCTGCAGAAGCTTCTTGATTTGATAAATACCATTTGTGTTTATTTTTGTAGTCTCTGGTTTTGGCTTTTATTTGAAAAACCATTGCCTGCCTCAGTGTGTTGAAGTGTTCCCCCCACACATTTTCTTGAACTATAGTTTCATAGTTTACATTTAGGTCTTTGAAAAAGAGTTGGATTTCTAAATATTACTTCATCCTGATTTATGTAAGTATTCCATTTTGCCAGCATCATTTTATTAAAGAGACTGTTTTCCTTACTATATGTTTTTAGTTAGTTTTTCAAAGACTAGTTGTATAAATGTTTGTTGGGCTCTATATTCTGTTTCGTACATATCTTTTTTATATTAGGACCATGCTATATTGGTTACTGTAGGTTTGTAGTATTCTTGGACATCAGGTATTGTGATGCTTCCAGATTTGCTTGTTTTCTCAGATTCCTTTGGAATTCTCGGTCTTTTGTTGTTTAATATGAGTTATGATTTTTTTCTATGAAGAAAGACATTGATATTTTGATGGAGATTACACTGAATTTATAGGTTGTTTTGGGTAGAATGGTCATTTTGACTATTAACTCCTCTGACTCAAAACATGGGACACCTTTCCATTTTTGTATCCTTAATAAATTTTTTCATTATTAGTATTTTATAATTTTCATTGGAAAGTACTTCTTGGTTAAAATTATTTCTAAATATTTTACTTTGTAGTTATCGTGAATGAGATTACTTTTTTTCACCAAGTTCATTATTGGTATGTTAAAATGCTGTGCTGCTTTTAATGTTGATTTTTGAATCCCACTCCTTTGTTAAATTTGTTTTTCAGTGCTAACAGCTCTTTCAATGGAGTATTTAGGTTTGTATGTTATAAAATCATGTTGCCTGAAAACATGGATAATATAACTAATTTCCCAGTTTGTATGTCCTTAATTTCTTTCTTTTGCCTAATTTCTCTTGCTAAGATGTCTAGTACTATATGAAATGAGTATTGAAATAGATACTCATTTAATATAGATATTACTCATTGAAATAGATATTTTTGTCTTGTTATTAATCTCAGAGGAAATGCTCAGCTTTTTTCCAATCAGTGTGATATTATCTGTGGACTTTTTAATATAGCTCTTAGTATTTTGAGGTATGTTTTTTTTCTTTTTTTAATCATGATGGAATGTTGAACCTTACTGAATGTTTCTGTATCTATTTAAATGATCATATAGTCTTTTTCCTTTATTTTATTGATATATCACATGTATAGGTTTGAGTATATTGAAGCATCTTTGTTATCTCTCGGATGAACGATATTTGATCAGGGTAAAATATTGTATTTGATTTGCAGCTCTTTTGACACTTTTCACATGTGTTCATCGGGGATAGAGATCTACTGTTTGTTGTGTTGTTCATTGGCAATATCATGCCCTTCTCTCGAGGTCTGTAAATTTTCTGCTGAGAAATCTACTGTAAGTCTAATGGACGTTCCCTTATATGTGATTTGCTGCTTTTCTCTTGCTATTTTTAAGGATTCTGTCTTGTACATTTGATGTTATGATTCTAATATGCTTTAGGGAATGTCTATTTTGGTTGAATCAAGTTAGGGTTCTTCATACTTCTTATATCTCAATGTCCATATCTTTGAAAATTTGGAAAACTGTCAGCTGTTACTTCAGATTTTCAGTGGCTTTGTTTCTTTTCTTTGCCTTGGTTTCCTTAGGTTCATCATGTGGATTTATTTTCAGGCATTTGAAATTGTGTTGTATTTTTGGAGTTTTACTGTTTTCCTTTGGAAGTATCTTGTTCCCTTTCATATTCATTGTGTCCTTATGTTGCTATCTGATGTAACATTTGCCTCTTTCAGTTTTATGAAATAGCTTTTGTGTAACTTTTTCCATTTAGGTAGGATAGAATTCCTCTAATAGATGTTTTGGGTTTGGTTATGAGGGGCTCTAAACTGTAGTCTGTGTGATTTTTCTTTCTGCGATGTGTGAAATGACTTATGAAGGTAGTTGTATGACTTTGCAATGAATATAGGCTACCAAAGAAATATATATCTTTAAAAACCACAGAATTAGGCTGTGGTGATACTGTAACTTCTGGAAGCAGCTGCTTTTGTTTTTGTGGTACCACATATGGACAGCACTGTCCCCAGGAGCTGCAGGACAAATAAGTGTGATGCCAAAGGTGGTGGTGCCACCAGCATCATCCCTAAACCACAGGATATAATGGAGGGCTCTCTCAGGACTCTCAGGATAAAGGCAGGGGAATAGCTGGCATCAGCAACCACAGTTATGAAGCCACAGAGTGGGATGGGACATTCCCCAGCTAGACAGTACTTAATGAGTATATGCTAGCATATTTAAAGAAACATTCAACATATGTATCAATATGCAAATACTTAGCAATATTTTAGTCCAGCTTTCTTTCCAGAAGGCCACTTCTAAAACCCAATAAATATTAAAAAGAAGTTAAGATTTCTAGCTGTAGTTTGTTCCATCCAGCGAACTTTTTATATTAAAGGTTTTTGAACTTTGTAGATCATCCTTAAATTCAAAGTAGAATCCAGCCGTTATAGGTAATGGCAAAAGATACATTCCCGATAGTAGGATGGGCATCCAGGCATTTAGCAGGAGATGGTTGAATTTTAGACCATTTAAATCTATAAATCATTAAGTTTACCACGATTGTACTAAGCATGATGATTTCTCTTGCAGAGAACACCATGGGAATGCTATGCAGCCTTCCGTCAAGGATAACAGTGGTAGCCACGGCTCTCCTATCAGTGGGAAATTAGAAGGCATCTTCTTCAGCTGCAGCACTGAATTCAATACTGGGAAGCCACCTCAGGATTCACCTTATGGAAGATACAGGTTTGAGATTGCAGCAGAAAAACTTTTTAACCCCAATACTAATTTATACTTTGGGGACTTCTACTGTATGTACACTGCTTATCATTATGTGATTCTTGTTATTGCTCCTGTGGGATCACCAGGCGATGAATTTTGTAAGCAGCGGCTTCCTCAACTAAATTCCAAGGATAATAAATTTTTGACCTGTACAGAAGAAGATGGGATGCTGGTTTACCACCATGCCCAGGATGTCATTTTAGAAGTTATTTACACTGACCCTGTGGATCTTTCTCTGGGCACCGTGGCAGAAATCACTGGTCATCAGCTCATGAGTTTGTCTACTGCAAATGCAAAGAAAGATCCCAGCTGCAAAACCTGTAATATCAGTGTTGGACGTTAACACCCACTTTTCTTATTCTTACGCAGCCCCTTTTCTTCCATTAGGAGCATTTCCTCTCTGTTCATTTTCATCATCTGATGTTTTTCACTGAAGCATGCATATGCCGCTCACCAAAAGCAAACTACCACTTCTCAAATTTCATTCAGAGCTGTTTTAGTGTTTCCTATTCCCCACCCTTCCCACTACTTTCAATGATCAAATATTCTAAGTTCTCCTTCTGACACTTTATTTGCCTAGATGCTGCAATGTTTTTATTTTTCCTATATGCCAAACATAACAAGACAATTGTATAGAATGCTTTAGTAAAATACAAAATAATGGCTTATAAATGGTGTTTAAATATGCATTCACTTTAATCTACTGAACAAATATTGGAATAACTCCAAATTGCATGAAAGGGTGTAATTGCAGCATGAGTTAAATCTTGAAGCCTAGAATTGTCAGCACTTCCAACTTGTTATTTGACAGTGTTATTTATGTTATTTATATTAGCTAACAGGAAACAACTACTGTGTTTCAGCATAATAAATATAATAGAAAAATATTTTATTTGTATTGTTGTATAAAATATTTACAATCATATCGAACATGTGGAGTTACATTTTAATAGCAAGTGTATACATTGTCACAAAACCATTTCCCTTATCAAAGATGTAATTTGTAAACCTCAAGTAGTTGTGTACAAGTGGATGACTTCAATTAAACAAATTTATGAAGGATATTATTCTCATTCATAAAAGTTATAAAATCAGATAATACAGAGAAAATAAGCTTCTAATTCTTCTGCTTTTGAAATCAATATTCTTCCCATCTAAACTATATGAAAATGTGAATTTCTTCAATATCATGCTTACACATTACAGAAAATACAGATACAAACAAGATTCATACATAAAAGAAATTGTCAGCCTTTTACTTGTTTTTAAAAAACAAAATAAATGTGTTTTAGTACAAAATAACTCAAAATATACTAAAATTGATGAGGCAAAATAAAATATTCTAGCTTCTTTCCCAAGGTATCAGAACAAAGTTTCCAAACCTTTCATTTTGTACAGAATGAAGAATAACTACAGCTCATGAGAAAGTTTTTTCACTTTATGAAGTATAGACCTTGGAACATTAAGAAAAATGCATATTCCTGATGGAAAAATAGTTATATATTCTTAGTTATAATAAACAAAAAGATTAGCAATAATACTATGGTTACATTAGATTATATACTGAAGACACATCTATCCAAAATAACTATTTTAAAATTTTAATACAGTATTTTAATATAAACATCTGTCAGTTATAGACAAAGATAATTCACAAAGTACATGCTGTTAGAATGAACTTTGGTAACCAGAAATGTAAAATCTCAAATAACTGATAAAATATTGTACTATTTTTATACTGAAATTAAAAACAAGTAGCTGTGACACCTTCTGGTATATTTTAGGGTACTGAAAGTCAAAAAGACTTAAGGGACAAGGCAGTAGATATTGTATCACATAAAAATCAATTTGAAATTTCAAATAAGTTATTTTCTTACTGGAAGCTTTCCTTGCTATATGAAAGGCAGAATCTCTTTTCTTTTTCTAATTTTTTAAAAATCATGCTTTTTCCATACATTGACATAATCTTCAGACATTGAATAAACTTTCCCTAACAAATTGCCCATGCATATGTCATTTAGATTTATAAAACATTAGACATTTTGGGAAATACTTATATTGACCTTGGCATGGAGGAAGCTGATTTTTTCCCAGTGAGATGGTTACTTGTTGAATTTTCCCCCACTTACATCCCTTTTCTTTGTACAGTCTATAATTAAACTTGCTGTCCTTCCTTGAAAATAACTACCACTAAAGTGCTTTCATTTTCAACATGTCAAAACTACTTAGCACAAATGGCAATGGAAAATAAGCTTGATTTTTATCTTAGGTGGAAACGATGGTGATTTCCTAAACCTCAAATAGTTTTGGCCACATCTTGCTTGCTGATGAGGACCTCTAATAGTCTCAGTTTGGCTTTTATGTGCTTGTATTCATAGTACTCGTCTGCCATTGGTATCCTATCTTCCTTTTGTGGACTTCTGCAAGGAAAAAATACAACCCATTAGTTCATAATGAATCAAGACATTAAGTATCCTTATAAGATTAACAGATAAAGAAGTAGAGGGTAGCAGCATCCTCTTGGTTTTTGCATCTTCTTTACCTCCCCTTCACCTTCATTCACTCTTTCTTCTGTGTTTCTAAATAATAACATCATTTGATGATGTGAATATTATAGGTCTTTTGCAAAAAACTAGTCTGGTTCTTAGACATGTAACAGTGGACAAGTTAAAGATCGAAGAACAAAAGCTAGAATTATCAAGGCATTCCCTTGTCATTCTCCATTATTTACCATAATTCCACACTATTTTTCAGCCCACACAGTGAAACATTTTTTAAAATGTCAATGTGAAAGTGCAACAGGAATTTGATAACACAGGCAACTCATAAATTCATGGTTACTAGGAAAAAAACATCCAGTGGCTGGCTGTCTTACAAAAACAGTTCCATGTTTTCCTATAATACCTGTTTTTGCCAATATGTAGAAAAGTCACTGAGCTGTTCTTTAATGGACAAAATTTATGAGTCTAAAGTGCAGTAGTTCTTTTCTGCGCACAAATTTTATTAAGACTAAACATATAACATTGCATACACTTAAGTACCTATGCAGTTTAGCTACTGCATGCTCCATGTTACCAAGAACATTTGCAATGTTTTAAACGTTTTAGTAATCCATTTGTATGGTCATTTTACTTTATGCGTAGTCCCAATAAAATGTGTTAGGAAGGCAGGATGAGAGTCCACAAATCCTAGCCATTCCAGTTCGATTTTAGTTGTAATAAATCATTAGTTTTGCATATAAATGAAATGTATCACCACAAGAGGGCATACAACCAAATACAGGAATATTTGAAGGAGATTTAGGAATCACAGTGCTGTAGAAGGCTATATGTAGAACATAATTAGCCTCCTTAGTTTTTTAGGGTAAACCTCTGGGGTTCAAGATAGATGAAGAATGTGAAGGTGAGCTGGCTGTATCATCTGTCACCCCACTGATCACCCGTGTTGATTCGGCTGGTCTGGTTGGCTAGACAGGAGTCCCCTAAGTGCTTCACTGCTGTGTGTGGCCCTCCGGAAATAGCACACTGGATGAGGACAACCACCCGCAATAGACAAAGACCATTTCTTTGGTCAAGGGTATACAAATATCTGTGTTCCCCTGCTGGAACTTTGAAACAAGCTCTCAGTACAGGTAAATATATAAATTTATTCAGGGAACTCAAAATTATGAAAAAAATATATGCAATCTTAAGGAGACCATTTCTCATATGCAATGCCTAGATTTAAAATATGAAAACAGCTTCCTAAATATTTCCTTGAATGAGATGTTTCAATTATTAAATCAAATACCTTTAATTTAAAGCTACAAATATCAGGAACTTTAGTTTAAGTCACACAGATTATGGCACATAATGCAAAGTCACTATCCCAACTTTTCAGGCAAAGTTCTATCAATGTTTTGTAAATAAAAATGCATGGAAAAAGAAAAAAAATCATCTAAATTTAGCATGCTACTTTGCACTAGATTATTTAAAAGAAATGTAAATAAATTGGGATTGTAGCTACTGGAAATGAAGATTCTAAGTAGAAAACTAACAAAATTAGAATCCAAATTGCTTTATGCAAAAAGCTTCTCACTTAATATGTCCAACTAATGCTTATGCTCTAAAATCCAATATTTTCATCTCATCCTTGCCACTTAATAACTTAGTTACTTTAGAAAAGTTACACTCTTTTTTAAAAAAATTTAAGGTAGATGTCCCACATTAAACTGTAACTTCTCAAATAATCTCAGGAGCCTAATCATTTCAACTAATGAAAGCAGAAACTCATGCTCCAGACAGCTAAATGATTTGACTCACTGTCTTTAGAAGAGGATCAAAAACCCTTATCTCTTGATTGTATAATTTTGTTGATACACTAAAAATTAGCAGGAACTAATGGAATGTATAAGAATTTGAGTTGACACAGAAAATTAGAGGACATAGTAAACATTCAAGGAATAGAAAGAATAGCTATGAACATTTGACCAAATTCTGAAATAAAATAATTAGGGCCAGATCCTGAAGTTTAAAGGAGATAATTAAAGTAAAGGTGGAATTATTTTTTTAAAAGTAGGTAATAACTTATGTAAGCTAAAAACAAGTCATATGGTCTAAAAATATGTTTTTAAATGCTTAGATAAATTCAATAGCATAATACTTATTATGAAAAGTTAGGGATATTCAGAGTAAATCCTTTGTTACTGGAAGATTGATGACATACTTTGTAGTAATAGTTTCCCATATAACATGTCTAATAACAGCACTATCAGAATGTTACATTGAACAAATCCTGAGTCAAAGCCAGTATGGACATAATTTACATCTTTTGCAAAGCCACTGCTTCTTTGAAAACTTGCATATTCTAACAATAGTGCTCTAGGAAATGTAAGCGTAAGAAATATCTACCCACACTCACCTTCCTGTTTGTTTAAAAAACTGTTCTTCAAATTCTCTTAGCGCTTTCCTTAGTCTCTTCTTGTCAGCCCTAGTTTCTCGGAGATGATCAAGAAGTACAGGCCTACATCAGGGAAAATATTTGTCATTAATGAGTACTAGCATAATGGAGAGCTCATTCGCAGATGTATTGGTTAAGCCAAAAAAATACATATTAAGTTTGAAAAATGTTCTAAGCATAATAGCTTGTTGAGTGTGGCTAACAGAACCTGACTGTAGGTACAGTCCCTAAGCACAGGAAATTACTTGACAGGATCAATGTCATGGGAAAGGAGAACAGGATGGACAATAGGCAAGTGGGCTGAGGCTGTGTTAAGAAATGAGAGAGGTCATGGCAGTATGAACACATAGGGGTAAGTGCAGCACCAACACGTTGAAGGAATACTCATGAGTATGTGATGACAGAGCAAATAAAAGAGACACAAAAGGAAGAAAATGTTAATGGAGACTCTGCCCTCAATCTGCAGTGGGGAGAATGGCAAAATCCTTGGAAATGAAACTAATACTCTGGAAACGCTGTAGGTCTACTGCAAACTCTGCTCACTTTATTTTAGAACCTGTATATGGTTTCAAAAAGTCTCTAAACTGAGAAATGATCCGGAGGCATTTTCTTCAAAAAGATCCCATTAATTTCAAAAGTTAGGAATGACTACTTCAGAACAACAACCATCAAAGCTCAGAGAGTAACAGCTCTTCCAAACATTTTATGACTACATAGGGAACCCCAGACCTTTTTAACTCTTTTCAGATAAAAAGAGACTCACACTTAGGATTCAGACTCACATGGTAGCCTCGTGTAAATTAGACATGGAGAGAGCTGCTTGTTTCACTTCTTTTTTTTCATCTGGCATCAGGGGCCTAATAGGCTCTGTCTCAGAGTAGGTGAAGTGATCACCAACAGGAAGGCGTGACCCTGGATCTAGTAACGGTTGTTGGTTTCCCTGTTGACAGTCTTCATCAGAGTCCTCTTCCTCCTGCTTATCACAAGAAGAGTTAAGTAAGGTCACAAAATGTCAAGTACCTCTTGAAAATAAAAAGAAAGAAAAAAGAACAGAAGAATCATAAATAGATAACCATGAAAACCAGTAAGAGGCCCATGTGCCTACTGAGAACCAGGATGGAAGCAACCAAGAGCCCTTTCTCAAAGATATTTAAAAAACAAAAAACAGCAACAACAACAACAACAACAAAAAAAAAAACTACAGAAGATAATGAGCAGATACACAGGTGTTGAAGTAGAATGCTGACCAAGTTCATCTGTCCTTGGTGGGCCAAAAAAGGCATGAAAATGTATGGTCCAGTATTTTCTCCCTTTCACACAGATCTTAAAGGCTGCAGCTTGATAGCAATGATGTGGGTTGCAACGAAATGGATTACAGAGACTTTGTTATAGAGAATATTCCAAGTCAGGTACCAGTGCAGGACTTTCAGATATGGAGGATGCTTACAAAATTGAGTAATTCAAAGAAGAGCTCTTTGAAGCCAAAGCAAGGTAGAGTTATACCTCAACTTCTTGTGAAAATTATCACAAATGATTTTTTGGTGAGGAAATCTGAAAATCCTTTTCCACTTTAAATTATACTTTCTCATGGGAAAATTTCAAAGACTATGAATGTATTATTCTCTTAATAGCTTTTAAAATACTCAAGTATACAATTCTAAAATATTCTATTTATATTTAATATTTATTCCTTTTTACACTGACATCCTAAACACGTGGCCATTTTGATACCGATAAAATAGGATTTATTGCATTTTTCTAATTCTGTATTCCATAAATCATTATTAAAATTATCTTAACCCATTTCAGTATTCCTATTGTCTATTGGAATAAATCTATTCATAAATTTGTACAGTTTGGTCATATGATACCAAAAATAAATTAAGGAACATACTGTCAATTTTCCTATTAAAGGAGAAAAATCAACCAACATACACAAAATCAAGAGGTTCTGTGTTTGTATAGCAGTGTTACAAATTAGGTAAGATCAAACTTAAATATTTTTTCTCCTTGCAATAGGTACTGAAGGCATATTTTAAAACTGGCTTCAAACATAAAAGTGATATATATTTTATGAGAGTTATACAACTCTCATAATGCTAACTATGGCACTGTGTTAACTAAACATCAGTACAAAGCAGTTAACCACTTAATGTAATTATCTTGACTTACAATTGTTGGTATAAGAGAAGGTGTTGACAAGATTTGCTTGATAATTCTGTATCGATCATAAAGGGGCTTTATGAGGTTCTTGTCTTGCTTAGTTATCTGAAAAACATGACATGGATTATTGTTCCTTTCTCAGATAAGAATTAAAACATGTCAGTGTTCTTAGCAGGCTAAAAACGTGTCTTGAAGTCTCAATAAAGGATTATAATACTATAATATGCAGCAATAATTGGAAAAAGGAAACTAGATGGTACTATGTATATTATACATGCCAATTTTTCTAACAAAAATCCCTTAAAGGCTGGACCCAAGTCAGAAAAGGTGAGTTTTAAGGTTTTCCAAAAGATTATTTAAGAATAAATAGCACAAAAACTCTCTTTTGAGCATTCTCAAACCAATGAATGATCAAAGTCTACTAGTCTATTACTTTTGCTTCAAAAATATCTATTTTATCTGGAATTTCATGACATATTGATCAACACTAATTGTATACGGTCTTTATCATTACCTACAAGGATTGTATACTAGCCTACTTGTTAGCTTTGGTATAAACTGTTACTTCCTGATCTTGTTTTTCTTTTCTGTTTGGGGATTGAACCCAGAGCTTTTAGGTAAAACTATGCAAAACATTTAACTTTCCTGAATCCTTCATTTTCTACCAGACAGCAGGGGCTAAAATTACAAAATTCCTTCCAGGTTGGTCCAAAGGTAGTTATCTCAACTTATTCTTCTAAATTCCTGTAAACTAAAAAAGAAAAATTATAACCTCTTGGTACACTATTGTGTTTTATAACCCTCTGTTAAATGGTTCATCTCTAAACAGTATTATCAACAGGTCACACTGTTTATAAAAATTTAAATAGGTGTCTACTTGTCTGTCTACTTATCTACCTTCCTATCCAAAGTGACCAAAAGCCTCCTCTTTCCTTTGATTTTTCTCCTCATGGTACCACTGTGTGGCCTGTATTAATTTGCTACATATTAACTAGAAAGAGTCTCTAATTATTGGCCAGTGGTTTTCACTCAGCAAATAGTGGGAATGCCAGGGTAGAAGTAGCTCATAACATCACCCAAGTATCTTTAGAAGTACACACACCCAAGAATGCTAAGAAGCTCTGCCTTCCCAATGGTTCATGGAGGCTCTTAAGGGAAAAGGAAATGTCATAAACAAGTATTAAGCTCTCCAATTATACTCACGCTATTCTACTCCTACCTGAACTATAAACCATTCTGTCCATATTGACCTGTTTCCTCTAAAAGTCTCTATCTCATTATTTGGAACTTAACTGTTACATTAAAATTTTTTGGAAGCCCAAAATCATATCACGTACTTTTTAAAATGATTAATATCCCCATCTCTACTAACAATTTACCAACATAAGTTTATATGTAAAAGGGATTCTAGTTTTTAACAATATATATATACATATATATAAAGACAGGATTATATATATATAATAAATATATAATATATATATTAATAAATATATATATATTATATATATATATATATAAAACAATCTATAGACCAAGTCTCTTTCATTTTTATTCTCAGTGGAAAGTCACTTACCTGTGAAAGCCACTTAAATATAGGCTAAATAACCACAAGAAGCTTTCTTTTTTCTAGCCCAATATTTCCTTAAACATTTCCGTAGCATGATACATCTTTTCATAAACAAATCTTATCAAAATGTAGGTCATGGGATTTTCATAAACATAAAAGGAAAAACTCAAATCAAAGTTCAGAAAACATTGAAAATAATTTTTAAATATTTTATTGGGATTTATCTTTCAGAGAAAAAACTTCAGAAAATGATGCCCTTATAATTATTATTGGTTTGTGTTTAGAAATTTTATTTTCATGGTCAGTATATTTTCTAGATTCTAAGAAACTAAAATTAATCCTGAAGGAGAAAAAAGAGTGAATGTAAGGGAGGTTAGAATGATGACATCCATTTTAAAAAAGAATCTTCCACAGAGCTAGGTTAAAATTAGGAAACAAATACAATGGATATATTCCCTTTTCATTCTGATGATGCCACGATTTTCCCCTCAGAAAAAGCACAGTCTCCAAAGAAAAACATAAAGCTTCAGTTGATGAGCCCAGATATGTTTCTTAAACACAGAGAAACCTTGCCAGACTTAATCTCTGTAACTAAAGAGCAATAGTTTTGCATCACTTGCTGTACAGAGGAGAGAACGTCAGTCTTCTTCTGTCCTTAAGAAAGAGTTCATTTATGGGAATGATTAGAGGGTATGATTTTATTTATAAGTTCCTGTGGTTTACTCAGAAAGAAAATACGGCAACAGCTCTATGGGGAGTAAAGAAAATAAACACATTGTAAAAGCGCTAGAGTTATAGCAATTTTTCCCCAAACAACTTGCTGTCGCGGATCCAGAAGTACTTGTGCTGGCCACTCAGCAGATGTTCTGTTTTGGAAATGTAGTTGTGTTCAGGCTATTATGCCAGATCTTGATAACTCAGATGACCTAGGAAAGCGGACTACAAGTTTTTTCTATGGGGAGGTTTGTCAAGCTATTAACAAATGATTTCAAATTGTATTCTTTTTAAGTTCCATCTTCTTTAATCTCCTCCTGGCTTTACCTGAAGGCTCTGGGTTCAATCTCCACACAGAAAAGAACACAAAATCAGGAAGTAAGAATCAATCTCTTTTGGGATTTATCTGCTTATACTTACCTTAAAAATATGATAACCCATTCATACTGTGGCTAGCTCTCCCTGACTGTTCTAGGCTACTCAAATGGTTTTCTCCATTCACATAACAAAAATCACAGTTTTGATACATCTTGCACACAGGAACATGCAGAATTATGGAGAGAAAACTCACTTGTTTCCAGTATACAATAATGACCCACAACAGAAGTGATTATCTCTTTTAAAAATCCACAGATAAAAGGGAAAAGTAATACTTTAAGATATTTATCAGCTTTAGTACGGACTCAAACTAAGCATCAATGCAAAAATTTCAGAAAACAGCAAAATAAAGGCCTTTCTTGAAAACAAAGCATTCTTCAGCATAGAAGTCTGTAATACAGCCCTTCTAGCAGTACTCAAGGTTCCCAAATGAAAGTCATCTGTCAATTTGAGTTTAAAGTTGGAAGATCTAATGCGATGATCTGGAATGCTACTCAGTATATGTAGGAAACAGGAATAAGACTAGCTGCCTTGGAAATACATAATGTTTCCTTTGTTTCTACTGTGACTCTGGATTCCCCCTTTAGTGCTCACCTCGTGGCTGACACAGTAAATACTCCCAGAAATAATACTGCATCTTAGTACACCGAAGCTTACAAATTCTAGTACAAATGTTCTCTATTTAAAGGACCCTAACTTTTGCAGAGCTACCAGGTTTATCTGAAGGGACATCAGATACTCTTTCATTGAAATAACAGAAATAATTGCCATTTATACAAGGATGATTTCTAAAGCACTCAGAGATTTCCATCCAACCCTCAGACTTATTTATATATTCCTCAGAAATGCAGACCCACCTCAGTTTTCCCGCATCTGAGATGGCAAATTGAACTCATCTCTGAGCTATAGTTCACTCATAGGCAAGATACAAATAATACTTATATAGTCATTGTGACAATAAAGGAGATGCCTGGTGATTGGTGAACAATTGTTGAATTGCAAAAAGATGCTAGGCCTCTAAGCTTTAAAAAATAAATACAAAGTTATGACAGGGTCACTGCCAACGAGCTCATGCTCTCCTAGGAGTTGGGATACAAGAAATAAAATTATTAGAGATTTTTTAAAGCACTAGAAAGGAAATTAAACATGGAATTATATAAAATGATGGAAATATTTTCTTCTTTAGAAAGAGTGATTGGGAAGGCCAGTGAATAAAATTAGCAGATTCAGAGCACCTCAAGAAAAAGAACTGTAGACAAAATTGCATGCCAGAATCCCTTAAAAGAATAAAGAGTTTGTTGTGTACTTGGAATTCTTATGTCTGAGGGTTGTAACACAGAATGGTGTGAAATAAAATAAAAGGGCAGATTGGAACTCATCATGTAGGACCTTTTAGGCTATACAGAGAAACACTGCTAAATTTTTGTCAGCAGCAAAGTGATATGAAATGATTCACATCAAAATATCTCTGATTACTGTGTGATTAAATTACTGGGCAAAAGGGTAGAAAAGGGATATGAGATGGCTGCTTGATTATCATAGTGGCTTTGGAGATGGAAAGTACTATATGCACTTAAAGTATACAGTTTTTTTTTGGTTAAATCCAAAGAGATGTTTAAGTGCTAGATGGGATAAAGAGAAGAAAAGAAAGAATCATTAATGGTGCTGTGTCCATTTACTGACACTGAAAATGATAGCAAAACAGATTTTGGAGGAGACTAAGAACTTCAGTTTATTTGGTAGACATTAGATTTAAAATATTTGATGAATAGAGCAACCAACTATCCCACTTTGCCTAGGACTGTCCTAGTAGGGGCACTTAAAAATTCCATGTCCTGAGAAGTGTAGAGGATTAGGAAGTGGCACTGAGATCTGTTCTAAGTCTGCCAAACCAATTCTAATGCTCTACTCACTGCTCTGATAAATGAACAGCATAGAATTAGAACTTGGTTATTGATCAAGATGCTTTTATCAATATGGACGAGGTAAGTAAAACATAAAGACTGTCAAAATAGTAAAAGATGAAAAAAATAGCTATGTTTGGGCATATGTGTATATATACAGAAGTTATCTACTGGCTATCCTAAAGGTCTAGCATCTTGGTCAGAGGAAAAAACATTTTGCCCACAGGGATACCAGCTTTACATTCACTACTTATATATTGGTTGCTTTTCTAAGTTTAAAGGTGTTTCATAATGTCAGAGGCGGCCATAGGCCCATTTCTACATGTATACCCGAAAGTAAAAGACTAACCCAGTGGCATAATGTGAGACTTTGGGATTTGATACATATTTCCATATTTTTAAGGCCAAGTAATGTACAGCAGAATAGACAAAAGCATCATTCTCAGGAAGACTTCATTACAAAACCTTCATTCCAAAATTTAATGTATCCATTTATTTATTCATCTGTCCATTTATCTATTTATTCAGCAAACATATATTCAGGACCTAATATGTACAGACATTATAGATTCATGGGTGAGGAAAAATTGGGAAAACAAAAGGATATGACATATCTTTATGTCCTTGCCATCTGATTTCTATAAACACGTCACACTATAGTCACCAGAACAGCATTACAACATGGAATCATGAGGCCACGTCCATATGTCATGGCTTTCTGAAATTTGGAGCCATTTTCCTAAAGTTGTTTATGTGTTGGAAAAATGCTCTGATGAACTGGTGGAAAGCATGACTGGCACTTGTCGGGTGCTGGGACCCTAAGACAAAATGGTGAGGTACCTTAGAATCCTCCTGGGCAGGGAAGAGCTCTCTCTTCTCCTTCAGGCATGTCAACACAGTATCTGAAGTCTCCTCTCCAGATGAGCTTGGCTCAGGGCCTGTAGCTTCTGGTTTCCCATTTTCTCTTGGGACTGTGGGTTGCTCACAGGACAGGTTTCTCAAAGGGCCTTTGGGAGCACCCCCTTGTTCTTCTGATAGCTTCAGCTTTAGTTCTAAGAGAAACACCATGAATTACCATGAGCAGAAAGGTCTCACTACACCTAAGAAAAACAAGAGAGCCTCTCAGGTGTTCTCCCCACCAAATTGCGAGAAATGAACAATCTAAATGACTTTCACTGGGCAAGAGCTGGCTCAATAACCGCAGATCATATCTAAGCACCCCAATCAGGTATGAAAATGGGGGTCCAGAGACCAGGTCTTCATGGAAGTGGAGGCGCTGTGCAGCAAGAACTCTGTTTAGATTCTGATGGAAAAGATCCAAAGGAACACCAGTGGTACTGACCCAAGAGGCTCCATCTGTCATCTATGATAGCACCTGAAATTCTACACTCAAAAATTTGTTGAGGTGAATTTTGAAAATTGTGAGTTTATCAAGAGTCACTGGGAAAACACAATACTTTTGAAAGGCATTATACATGCAGGCATCTAAGCAAATATACGACATGGGACAATGGGAAAAGGGGTAGATATAGGACATGGTGGGAAAGGGGGGTGAAAATACCATCTCTCAACAGATTTCACAGTTTTGGCTAATGTCAGCTTTTAAAATCTAGGAATTACCTTTATTGCAAATGTGGCTTATATAAACTTAGATAATTATAATTTTTAAAACACACTTGGGACTTGTCAGTGAATTACATATCAGAAAATGCTAGGGGAGTGCTCATTTGAGGCCATTTGTATTGATTTCTGACTTATATAACTCATTTTATTTGATTTGTTTAGACTCTGACTTGATGTTTAAACACTGTAAGTTTTATAAATATACCACATCATTATAATTTAATACCACTGAATTAATATTTCTAATATTCCTTTATAATTCTTAACCATTATCCCTCCAGAAATTTGGAAAAATTCCCATATATCTCTATTGAAATTATAGAGTATGGATGGAAGAAGAAAATAATTTTATTGGTAAATAATGATTGTCCTTTAAAATGTATTTCAATTAATACACCACCATCTCCAGAGAGGGCCATAAAAAGAACTGGGCTGAAATGCAAAAGAAAAAAGATTTATACTCAGCTTACCACTTCCAAGCTAGGTAAATTTTCCCTCTAGATATACATGTCCCCACCTGTGCAATGGGGTGTGTGCAGGCCCCTTTTGTTTCTAACATCTACAGATCCAACAGGAAGATTACAGATCCACAGGTTGAAATGTCCCTAGGTTTGAGTGGATCATTACATTTGGAGGTTGGAATTTCTCAGCTTCTATGTAAAGAAGCTTATGAAGAGCAGCTGAACAATGAAAAGTGACTCAAAACCATTTGTGTTAAGTGGGACCTCCAATCTAAGCAGGAAATTAAGTTTACGATGACACAGGTGGAAATGAGTCAGAACACCCTGGAGCAGATTATACTATTTTAACTATATCTTTTCTGAGAAAAAGAGACCTTTCACTGGCATTTACCTTTGAGCTGTTTACGACCTTTAGCCAAATCGTTCATCCATTTCAGGACTTCAGGATTAGAAGTCTTGTCACCATGTGAAGGCTACCGAGGCCGGAGGGTAAAATGGAAATGGAAGGAAGGGTAGGGAGAGAAAGGGAGGGAAAGAAAGAAAAGGAAAAAATAACATTTTTAAATAGCCAACTTACGCAGGTAGTTAAGGAACACACAGTGCTGGGAGAGGCATGAAACTCCAGCTGATGGAGTTGCTTCTGGAAAACATATCTTGACCTTCTCCACTGTTCTATCCTTGTCATGGGCATGATTCCTAAATATGCTTGGTCACCCAGTATTTTTATATACCAGCATCATGCCAGCCCCACCATCTAACCTCAGCCACCTTGCTGGCCACCCACACCTCACACCCCTGCTCTCAGATCAATGATAATACAAACCAGTGCTTCCTACCTTGCCTGTGGCTATCATACATGGCTTATGACTATAACCTGCTGGAGAATGCTGACAAACTGGAACATTTGGCTCCTACTAGCCGCATCCTCCAAGCTGAAAAGACTCCAGTTCTCAACAACCTGAGAGGAGTGCTGAGAAATAAAGTCAGTCTGTCAAGGAGACAGCAGATTTTTCATAGAAAACATGTGACTGTAGCCAGTATTAAAATAAAACCATCACATGAGTATGACCTTGGGCAAATTATTTAGCCTTGCTGTATTTTATAGTTTTACCTACTATGTGAGGATTATGAGTATCTCCCTCACTAGGTTGCTATGAAGAATTAATTAATATCTATGAAGCACCAGAAAATAGTTCCAATTGCATGCTAACCATTGTTGAATTATTAGCAAGAATTACATATATTACTATTTTTATTTCCACTAGCAGAAGTAGAAGTCCAAATAATGTTACCATTAGACCTTCAAAGAAATACTATGCCTTCATCAACAAATATGTGTAGAGGAGCATGTTTTTTCCAGAGAGCTAGGCACAACCTGGAAATGTCAGAATATTAATTTTAGAAGGATATGCATCTATCAATATGAGTCTTTTGGAAGATTCCCTCCTTTTTTCAATATGGGGTTTAGCTATATTGCCCAGTCTGGCCTCAAACAAACCTTCTGTGTTAGCCTCCCAACTAGCTGGCATTATAATATGCTTGTGCCACCATGTCTATGCACTTGACACAAAAGTGAACTTTCTACAGAAAAATTAGGAGAGAGGTAATAGTCAAATATAGTTACCCTCTATTCCCAAAGATCAGTAAGGACACGGTAATTTAAATGCAGGTTCAATACTAATACTACTAAGATATATAAGAAATGTTACAATAATATGCAAGATAACACGATCATACGCAAAATATACATGTTTTTAAACATGTATATTTTTAGTGACTAAATATAGGGGCTTGCAATGTTTTAGGGTCTTTCACTAAATCTGTGGACCATGAGTGGGAGGCATAGAAAGATGAAAAATATGTTCATGTTTGAAAGAAAAAGCAGTACTTGCATTCCAAGATCATCAGGTGTACGTGGGAGTAAGTATGTCCACTGTGAAGCACACTTTAGAGCTCTGCCAATTCTGAAACAATGCAAAAACTGAGTATTTTTAGATTAAAAAAATAATGAACCTTAGGGGAAGGTTGAAGCCACCTTGATTTCAGAACCATGGACAGTGGGCATGGATAACTGCATCCACCTCCAAAAGATAACAGTCTGGTGCTACCTATATTCTACTAGGATGATGTGCTGCAATGATTTCCTGGCTTTGGGTAGCAGTCTGGTTATATATATGGGCAGTTGGTAGTTTACATTTGTTTTCTCAGGGCCCTCACAATTTTCCACTCCAATCTAGGAATATGTCTTGATAAATAGTGATTTACTAAATGTGTTCCACACATCTAATTGTGTTCATCTAAATGTGTTCCACACATCTAATTCCACTTTTAAAATATTTTTTTAAAAAAAGGAATGTTAAAATCCTAAAACCCTAAGCCAGTGACTAACAGAGAAATGAGCTTTCATCACTGCACATAGGATTTCAGAGAAATTTAGGGATAATTTCTGACAAAGTAGTTTACATCCTGAAATCAGTTTCAGAAATGAACTTTTTATTTCCTTATGCTTAAAGGAGCTTTTAAAAGAGATTAAATCTAGCTTTCATGGATGGCAGCTCTCAAGTCAGATGGAAGTTTTCACATACAACCCGGAAACCTTTAAGCCTTTTAATTTTGAACTGAAATACTTTGGATTAATGGGTTCCAATAGTCAAATACCTAGAATTTGTATAGGTAAATTTGTCCAATGCAATTAAAATGGGCCACCTAAATCACAAAGATACACAGAAGATACAAGAGGGCAGATTCATGGTCTTCCAAAGATGGTTTATAAGAGATATTAGAAAGATGTCTGGATTTGTAATGGAAAGATCCAAGTTGTCTTGACTAGATTAATTCTTTAATGTTTGGTTCCAGATCATTCACTTCCATAAGAAAAAAAGACTGGATGCTCTCTTTAAATTCCAACCTTTTCTGATTCCAACTCAAGACATCTGACTGAGGCAGACATTTCTAAGCACAAGTGCAGTAATCAAATACATCAATTGTAGGGGATAACCATGGTTTGGAATATGGATATAAACTGTTCACATTCAAAATAAATACACAGACACCAGAGTAGTATAGAAGCCCAGCAGGAGCTTGGATTCAAAACTTAGCAGTGGGTGCTATTAATTCCGCAGTCAAATTGCCGGAAAGGGAAAACTTACACACAGCAACTAATTAAAGCCCATTGACACGTCAAACCTCTAATAACTTCCTGGAAGCTTGACAGAAAGGGCAAAGGGAAGCCCTAGTTCCTAGGACCTGTAAAGTTCTTTTTATAATCAAGGACTCTAAACACGCAGAAGCAGTGGAAAACATAGACCACTTGTCCTTCCTTGCTCCTGTATTTGTCTTTCGGCATATGAGTACGTTAAGTATGAAGCTGTTTGTTGGTCTGTTTGTCCTGTCTTTGTCTTTTTGATATACCTTTAAACATTCTCTATAAAAAGGCAGGAAGTACCATATGAATGGAAATTCTTTTCCAAAACAGATACCAGCTGGTTGGCTGTTACAATTGAGAGAAATAATCCAAAATCGGTGGCCACAGGTAGACAATTTCCTTTCAGTTTTTGACAAGGCAGATACTGCTACTAGGATAACTTATTCAAATATTGCTTAAATAGATTAAAAAGTTATTCAGCCAAATGCTGAAGTAAGTTATACACTCACTCTCTTGTATAATACCTTCCAGTTTAAATCATTACAGATTTTAATTCCACTTTACAGATGCACAAACTGAGACTCAGAAACATGAAGTAATACGTTCAAAGTCACAGTGCTCCTAAATGTCTACATGCTGGATTCAAATCCAGAAAAATGTCTCACTGACTGCTAGGTAGGAAGTAGTAACAGGCCAGAGATGGAGGCCTGCCTGATTTGTTACTCTAGAGCCCAAAGTGAGGATATCACAGATTTAATAACAAACCAGCAGCAAATTGGATATCAGTTTCTCTCAGAATATTTGAAGCTTTCAAAAAATAGACACCTAAAAGAATTTCCACTTATCTACTATAAAACCTATGCAACTTTAACTCACTGGTTCAAAACTGAGCAGACAGAGCACAACTATCCAAGGCAAGTTACACATTTTCACTGGGCCTTAGTACAGAAGTCTGCAAAATAAAGGCCTGGATCAGTGATTTGTGGAGCTTAGCTCCCTCCTGCTCTATAAAAGACAGTGAGTAGCTATGACTGCTTGATTTTGGGGAAGAGAAAAATCGTCAGCAGTATGATGTTGTCTTGAAATCAATCTGATTTTTTATTCCATTTTGCAAAATAAAAACCACTCCTTAAAACCATTTATTTAGTGAATTTCAGGTCATGCAGGGCAGAAAGAATGGAAGAGTGGAATAGTACCAACTCTTAGCTATCCCCTGAATTTATCACAGGCTCACAGGAACTTTCTGATTGTCTCTGTACCAAGTGCTTAGTGAGCCTTTAAATATTTCAAGATGTGTGAGAGATTATTCCCTGCTCTCTTTTATTCTAATAACAAGCTGTTCTGGGCCCTCTGCCAAAGACCTAATATCTTTGTGAAATTCTACATAAATATAATTTTTCTCTCTGCCTTGATCACAAGAAAATAAATAAAAGTAGTATTGACCATCAGTGCTCTTGCCTATGACTCTATTGCAATGTGAGAAAAGACAAGGCTCATGAGTGCGGCACTGCAGACCCAGCTCAAAGACTGGCGTCTCTAGTGGGAAAGGTTGGGTCAGTTTGTTCTTATGCATGTCCTAAACACATGTTAATTAAGAATTATCTCTACCCACCAATCAGTAAGTACCTTAAGGTCAGAGTAACTAATTCTCCCTTGTTATGCTTCACAGTTAGAGATTCTGCCCATGAGGTCTTCATCAAAATGCAAGTGGGAAAAGGTTAAAGAAGAGAAACTATAATTTAATAGCTTTCCAAATTTGGTCCTAGAAAAATTAGTGATAGTAAGATACTCAAGGAAAGAAGGAGAATGAATCATCATATACATTTATAAATAAGAGTTATACCCCATTGCTAGGAAATATCTCAGCACAGAGAATCGTACAGACTATGAGAAGACAGACTCAGGCTGGGAACTCAACCTGTGACAGGTCCTTGCTTGTACAGTGGAAGAAGAACCGTTCCCTGCCAAAGTGGGTTCTCAAAAAGAAAAAAATCCACACACCTCTTATATAATCCATCTTCGCAATAAACCCTAGAGTCCTTACCCGATACTTCTTTTCTTGCTCAAACTTTTCTTCAAATTTCCGAATTTTCCTCTTGAGACTCTGGACATGCTTGGTGAGCTGGGTAATGGTCTGTGTTTCCTTGCCATCACCACAGCTGCACCGGGAAGAACTTCGGGGCCTGCATGAAAACAAAAGGGACAGAGAGTGTGAAGAGAAAGAATCTTGTAGCAAATAACACTGCTTGGTCTGTAAACCAGAATGGGGTGAAGAATCCATTATCAGATGGATCCACCAAGAGAGTATCTGATCTCCAGAGGAGGTACCTGATTTTAATACTGCATTACAGACAGGATGTCATCAGAAACTTTAAATATACAAGTATTAGAATATTAGTGCAGGAAATTTATTTCTTATAGCTTAGAGATGCCAGTATAAGACTCAAAAGAGACAGACCCACTGAAGTATTATCTCCAATAGGTGGTACAAGCCATTCATCTCAATATGTTCGAGAAAGACTTTAGGTAGTTAACTTTCTTTGACATAGCCTTTCCAAAAGTGATGGAAGAAATGCATCTTCTCCTGAAAATGGGCCTCAAATGACACAGGATAGTCAGAGAATGCAAATTTGGATAAATTCAAGAATAATGGCATGAGTTAGAAAGGAGAAACTAGAGATTCCCTAAGAATAATTTTATCAATAGATTCTCAACGCCATTATTCATGGGACTCAAATATAAAGAACACATAGTTCTGCAATCTCATTCTAACTACAAATGCAAATTCTAAATGGGGTGTGTAGGAGAGAAGGATGTGATTTGATATAGAGAGATAATAGATAATACATAGCTACATAGATAGATACACAGATTGACAGATATTTAGCTAGAGAGACAGCTATTGTAAGCCACTAGTTTTCTAGAATCTAAGACCAAAATGATGTGGATAATTCTCTAGTGTTCCCATAACCCATCTAGTGATTCTCATGTTAGACCTGGGAAAATACTAAGCTAATTTTGTGATATTTGCATATACTGTACTTAAGGTTATGGTTACTCCACCGAAGACATGCAATTTGTTGGAGTAGCCTGTTTCTCATGACCATTTCCTCTGGCAGCACTAAATGCTGAAGCAGGATTCCTAACTAGGAAATACACCAATATCTGACTCATTATTTGGGTCTCATTGTGCATTTGGCTGATACGTTTGCACTACTTCAGAGACATTTCATTGTAGGTTGTAAATGTGGTATTTGAAAAGCCGCATGAAGTAAGGATAATAAAATAAGATTTTCTTACATCATAAACTGCTGAGTGCTGGGTGGAGAAGGGGCTGACTCAGGGTCTAAGTTGAATCTCTGGCTTTGGCTAAAGATGGAGCATCGCGGTGACAGCAGTGGGTTATCGCCGTCAGTGATGTGATAGAGCAGCCTGCTGGTCCCGACAGACAGGTCTTCTGGTGTGCTGTCGGCTTCATTCTGCCCATCTGTGTGGGTTGTCATGGGGTCTGGGAAACAGGATAAATGATCAAGACGCAGAAGTGACAGAGGGCTTGAGACTGTCATGATTCTAAATAAAGATCATAAACATTCATTATAAATGTTTGCCTCTTTGTCATCTTTTCCTTCAGGGGATATGGAAAGCTTTCAAAAACAGTCATGGCTGGTCTCACAGAATCTGGATAAGAAAAAAAAGTTACAAAGCCACCAACTACAAAAAATGGAAACATTATTTTAGTGTAAGTTTTCTTGTCAGGATAAACCAAAACTATAAACACCCTCTTCATTTCATAGTATTTGTAATACTGCCTCCATCATATGGAAAAAGTTACAGTGAATAAAAAGAAAATAAAATAGAGCTGGAGCAAAAGTTTATACATTATGAGGAAAAGGAAAACAAAATTAGCAGTGAAGGACGGGAGAGAAGAAAATGAGAAGGAGAAGAACAAAAGAAAGAGAGAAGAGAGAGGTGCCATTCCAGGGAGAAAATTAGCCAGCAGTCCTCACAAATGATGGATAACCTTGCTTATCAATATGGAATGAAACTAATGAATACAAAATGGAAACCACAAGTTTCAAAACAAAACAACAAGGATCCATTTTACACAAAAAGCAACATCCACATGCACAAATAAAGTACATTAAAAGGTTGCATGGCGCATAACTACAAAGTATGTGGAATTAGGGTTAATTCTATTTTTTCCTCCAAAGTGTTATGTAACATTTTATTTTAAACAAAACAAAACAATAAAACCTCCTCCACGTAAACTTTCCAGCTCGCCAGGTTAGTGCCTGAATTATCTATAATCATTCCTCTTTAAAGCTAGCTCATTAGCAGCCGGGTGTGGTGGCACATATCTGTAATCTCAACAGGCCAGAGGTTGACGAAGATGGAGTTAAGTAGTACTACAGAACCAGATTTCATCTCAAAAAGCAAAACAAAAAATTAGCTCATTAGCTCCTTATTCCAGGGTCAGGTCAAAAGCTGGATACTCCTGTGCTATCGAGGTGAGTTCAGGGAAACAAGATGTGTCACTAGAGAGACATTAGGACACTGAGGGTGGCCAGGATAAGAATCCCTCCCTCCTGGGCTCTGGACAGAGTTATTCAAGGAGTAACCCAAATAAAAACCACAATTTTCGCCTAGCAAACAAGTCAGGACAATTTAAGGCTTTCTTTTAGGTCTAAGGTGCTTCTCTAAAGATAGTGGAAAACAAAGACTTTCTAGGTGAATAAGCAGAACCAGAAAATACTGACAATTCACTTTTCCAAAATAAACATTTATCACAATTTAGTACAGGAAGAATCTTAATCAGATTTAGAATGGCTCCTTGTTTTCTAGAACTTGAAATGTAATTCACTTTGTGTAACATCAAAGGTCGGTTAGGTGCGCCAGGAGGGTAGATAACACCTTTTTGTGCTTTTGAAGCCCACTCTGTCAGCAGCTGAAGCTGGTGAGGCTGCAGTTTGGCAAGAGCCCTGCAGAATAATAAGAATGAGACTTATTCACCAATAAATTGTATCACGCAGTAGAAGTCACCTTCAAAATTCACCAGAGATTTGTGGTTCTCTATCAAACTCTTTCCTTAAACCTCCAGATTCTAAAAAGAAATGAATTTTATTTGCATGACCTGTGTTATGGAGAGCACCATCTAATAATAAACATCAGAAGAAAATAATCTTTAGCAAGCACCTGGGACCTGAGTATGTTTATTAAAATGGGAAAATAGAGACCTTCGAACTTTCAACTAAGCTGTGGCCCTCGGTCAAAATTAACATAGTCTCTTATTGCTGTTTTCTACAAAACACCCACAGAAGGCATTTTGGTTCCCAGCACATCACTTCAAAGCAGTGGTAGGAAAACAGCATATTTTGAAAACCCATAAACACTTAAGATATAACTTCACAGAATTATACATTGATATGAATGTCTGGAAAGGGAAAAACTCTACATTGTGATAGTAAATGCAAACCTCTACTTACATGGTATATATTTTCCAAGAGCACTCACATAATTTACCAATGCTGCCTAATTTACATTCTAACCTCTCTTCCCTCCAAGTCACTATTAAAGGAACCCACAAGCCAGAAAGATCCCTAAGCAACCAGCTGAAAAGCAACAGAATCAAAAACTGATGATTTGGTAGTGCTTCCATTCTTTGTCTACGCTCACCATTTGAGTTGGAAAGGCATTTAATTAAATTGGCTGGTATGTACATTTGTGTGTGCATTTATGTAGATAGGATCACTGAGCTCTCAGAAGCCAATGCAGATTTAGAGCCAGTACTGCTGCCATCCTGGGAACAGAGCCCAGGCCACAGCTTCCAGACTCTGCTCCCTGGTAGGGAGAAGCTTATGGTAATGTTAAACTCATGTGGCTTCCAATGGTTGTCTAAGGCTGGGGGTGGGGGAACCTGTAAGGGGAAGGGATTACTTTATCTTGCAAAAGAAGGGGAATCTTGCCAGGCCCAATGGTGTGCTGCATCACGGTTTAGAGAAAGGGACCTCCAGCCAAGAGTCTGCTATGCTTATGCATTCTACGGGGTTTCAGCCAATTTCTCAAATCTCTGGTTGCTTATTTGGCCAGTCTCATTCAAAGAGCTGTGACAAAAATAAGAGATATGCTGTATATGTGCTTTTAGGTAACAATACTACATTGTACACTAAAAATCGTTTGTCCTCTTGTTAAATGCTCTTGCTGCAGTAAAAACTTCTTCATATTTTCTAAAATTTTTGCAATGTTAATTTTATAGGAAGGAAAATACAAATTAATATACTTTTTGGGAAGAGTATTCTTGCGCAGGAAAATGATAAAATATCTCAGCTATGGCATAATAAGGATTATTTAGAATCCTAGATCAATAGGCTAAGAGAGACTTTGAAAATGATAGTCCATATAAACCTCAAATTCATCATCTTTTAAACATGGAGAATTTTATACACATGCCTCATAAGACGAAATGAGAATGAAATAAAACATAAACCTTATAAAGTTTTTGCCATATGCACAAAATCCTATTACTGCATTATGCATGAGTGTATATAACTTCAACTTGTATTTTTATATCAACTTCATACAAAGTAATGAATGATAACCAAGAAGTCATGAATTTGATTTCCAGTTACATTTTAAACTAACATGCATTAAAATAAATTTCCCTTAAAACTGACAGTGAACATCAATGCAACCCTTGTATAGCACACTTTGTAAAACATTAGGATAAGGTAGAGAAACAGGTAAAGACAATAACCATGAGAAATATCATTTTAATATTATCAAAATACACCACAGCTGCAATGGGGATGAATATGGGAAACGATAATATATCTCAATATCTCACCCCTTTTTATTTATAAACAAGAATAATAACAACCACAATATGTATGGAGTGACTGTGTCCTCATACTTATTCTGAGAGTTTCTGCCTGCATTTAACCTTTACAACAAGGTGAGCATGGTTTTTAAATGGTTTCTACTTTAAATTCAGCAAGGCAGGTTGCATAATCACACCAATGCCATTCAGGAAAGCTCTGATCAGTATGTATAGTAGAAGACTCCACATCTCTAACCCTGGAAGCTGAAGTGCTCCTGGCAGCCCACTCCCTGAGCAGTAGGGAGTTGGAGAGAAGGGGAATAATTATCGTTAGTGTGTGTTAAGGCCAAGAGACCACTTCTGATCTGGCTGCAGCTCCAGGCTGAAACAGATGCTACATTCCAGATGTTAAATGAATCAGTCAAATTTAAGAGTATAACTTTCTAATGTGAGTTTTTAAACCAATTCAAATTTTAAATAAATCTCTATCTCCAAATACTTAAGAGGGACTGATGAGATTTTACTGAGCAGATTTGTTAATTTGTAGCCCTGAATTTCCCCATCATGGCAGGCTCATAGGAAGCAGTGACATATTTTCCAAAATGCCAAACAGCAGCCTCTGTTGGTTTTAGAAACTAAATGAGCCAAAAGCATGTCCAAGATTCTAATGAGGTTCAAGCTTCAGAGTTCTCATTCAATATGTCTCAGGACAGATAACACAGAGGGTGATGATGTCACACACACACACACACACACACACACACACAAAGATGGCTGCAAAAACAAAAACAACCCCAAAAAGCATCTGATTATTAATGTACAATGGGTTTTATTTTAAGTCTGTTGAATTTAAGTCAAAGGTGTTAAAAGGTGTCTTCAGGACAGAGAGAGAGAGAGAGAGAGAGAGAGAGAGAGAGAGAGAGAGAGAGAGAGAGAGAACATAGGTAAACTTGAAGCCAGCCCAATAACTACTGCTGGGGAAACAGAGGAACCTGTCTGGTTACATACCACTTGGAGGAAAATTTCATTACTCTGCTAGAAACACAGTGCAAATGAGAATAGATAAAAGAGGATTCTACATCGGGCTGTCTGTTCTACCAGAAAGAAGCTAGCACTCCAATAGGTTTCTATGTGCCAGGTTCCATGAACGACCACTACAAGTGTTAGGGAGTTGAGGGGTGGGATATCTGTCACCAAGGAAGCAGAGCTGGGAATCATGATAGGGATCTACAGGTCCCAAGAGGCTGTCGGTCCATCACAAATAAAGCATGTGCTGTAGGCTTGGATCTAGACTGAACTCCTACTTTTATTATCTGTGGAACTACAGACATGTTCCTTGATCTCTTTCAATCCCATTGAATTTGAGAAATTGTCATGGGAAATGGCTAAGGAAAAACATCTGATCTCTGAGAATATCTTTTTCCCTCTCTGTGTTATCAAAGTGAAGCCAACTGCCCCGGTAATAGTCAAGCTGAGCAATGTCCTGCCTGTGTGGCTAGGGAAAGACTAATCACCATCCATATTAGTGTCTAGGACCTAGAAGTAGCAAGGCACTGGGACTGCGGTGCTTGTTATCATTTTTCACCCTGTTTCAACAGGCTCACCCTGTTGATCCCTGCACAACTGATTACCTCCGTGGTGCAGCTAATAAAAATCTGCTAGTAGGATAACAAGAGCTATTTTCAAAAGGGAGT